TGTGTCTCTTAAGAAGAAAGTATTGTATTTCTTCTTGGCCTCATTAGAGCCTGAGCCTCAATGGCCACCACTGTCCTCTCTGTTCCAGCTGCCAAGAGTGACAAGACACACACACCCAGAGACTGCTGAGCAAGAACGGAAACAGACATTTTCCATTAAGCCAGGCCCAGTGGGATCTGCTAATCTATCAGAGCCTCATTCCCTGTGGCAGCCTCCCTCTTATCTTTCCAGGCTCTGGTTCTGACAGACTCCCTCTCCAAAAAAGCAATCACTAGTTGCCAGGGCCAGGAGCCAAGAAGAAAATCAGGGCCCAAGCACAGCCTCTCCTACCCCCAGGCTCCAAACTCTAATCACTTCTACACTCCTCTCTGCTATTATCCCAATTAGCTAGATTCATCAACTTCTCTACCCTTTGGTCTCAAATATGTTCTTACATCTGCCCTTCAGTTAGGACATCATTTTCTCTCCCACTTTTGCACTGCTCATCGTATCACTTTCATAGTTCCGGTTGCTCAAGGTGGTTCTATCTTTTTGGTAGGCACTATGATAGAAAGGAACAGAACACACCCTGGGTACAAATACGACTTCTGCTACTCCCAAACTGTGTGATTTTAGCTCTGCTCTCTAAATTCCTATCTCCTCACCTGTAAATTAGGGGTAACACTTAGCTTACAGAGTCGCTGAAGTGCCCAGCACCGTGTCGGACACTATGCAAGTGCCCCACCGGTGTTAGGGCGCTCCTCCTTCCCTTTCTATCTAGGGCTAAATCTTAGCTAAATCCACCGCAGTCTACTCTTATATTACTTGGCTAACAGAAATGAGCAAAATTAGTGAACTTGCAATCTCACAGCTTCAAATCTTCCACTACCTGGGTAAACAATCTAAAAGGACGGGTAATACTGATCCAGATAACCCTAAAATTTCTATTTGTGTTGTAATGCACACTATATGACAGAAAACTCTTACAGCAAACTTATTCTTCTAATTTTGTTTTTTTTGGTATCCTAATTTTAGAAGTCTGCATCCCCTAAGCCCACAAAATCAACAATAAACCACTGTTCAGAAAAAGAACAGTAAAAAGGGAAAAGGAAAGGATGGTTCTCCATTTTATGGGTCATTCCTAATTCCTCACAGAAGTCAAAAGCTGACTGAATTTGATTTTGCAGTGCACCTGGAGAGAGAAATTTGGTACCACCCTGTCCCCGGACTGCAGCTGACTGATGAGCTCACCCAAACCAATCATATCCTCTCCCCTGGAAAACCAGAACTGGGACTGAGATTGTAGGTCAATCTGAGCCAATCACTAAAAGGAAGAAACTAAAAACCAAGGAGGTATGGGTGGCCATCTTTCACCTGCAACAAAAGTTGAGAAGTGGAAACTGGTCTGCAGACAAGGAAGAATGAAGCAAATGTGCAGAGAAGCTGTGTGGGTCTCCGACAGATCTCCAATTCCTGATTCCAGGCCCTTTCCAAGGTACCTCAGTATACTTATGACGCATTTCCATTTAAGCCAGCTAGGAGCGGTTTCTGATACTTGTAACCAATTAAATCTAATCCCCAATCTGCTCAGCCTCTGTATTCCCTAAATGCACCACTACCCTCCCAGCTGCCTGAGCCAAAAGGCAAGGGATCAGCCGGGAATCCTCTCCTTCACCCATGACACCCAATCAATTCCCTAGTCTTAAAACGTCTACCTCAGAAAAAGACCTGGAGCCTCCAGCTCTCTCCAGCCCCCGCTACTCCCTTATCCAGGCCGCCATCATCTTTCACACTCTCTGCCAGTCTTGCTCCCTCCAGATCTTTCAGCACCCTGCGATCAGAGAATTCCTGCTCAGACTTCAAGGGCTCTTCAGTACCCTAGAATTATGTACAAAGGCCTTGGCATGGTTTCCAAGGCCCATTATCATCTAGCCTCAGCCTCTTTCTCTCTAGCTTCATCTCTCATCACTGCCCCGCCCACCCATGCGCTCCAGCCATGGTGCCTTACAAAAGGTTCCCCCAAAGCGTTTTCATTCTCTCACCTCTGGGCTTTTGTACATTCTGTTCCCCTGCCTGATGTTCTCCTCTCCATCGCCCCTTTCTCTGGCTACCTTCTGCTCATCTGTCTTATCTCTGAAGTTTAGACATCGACTCCTCCTGGAAGCCTCCCCAACCTGTGAACTGGGTTAGTGCCCCAGAGGAGTGCTCCCATGGCACCAGCTCTATCATGGTTCTTCTCTGACTTGACCTAAAATCTATTTCCTTGTCTGTTTCCCCCACATTGACCATAAACTCCTTTTGTGACAGGATCTATCATGTTCACTACTGTACTCTTAGCTCCTGGCACAGAGAAGCAGCTCCATACTGAACGAACAAATGAATGAAAATTCAGAGTAATTATTTCTACTTCAGCACCAAACCCTAAAGGGAAATTATTTAAGGAAACCTAATTCATTCACTCAAATGTTTACTGAGAGCCCAATAAGCACAAGACACAGAGCTTGGAACCACAGGGCCTTAGAACCACAACTATTTCAAAGGCGAAAGTCACCCTCACCTAATCACCTTGGAACTCTCTTAGGCTACACTTCCCAGGAACTATATGTTCAGAAAACAAAAATACTAACTTGAACAGAACAAAAATGGGAAACTGAACCAGCTAAGGGCTAGGATTTGGCTTTATTTTAATTATCCACATCAGGATTCACCTCAGGAATTTAGTAAATTATACTCACAAAGGAGGGACAATTAGAAGTCCTCAGAGTTTTCTGCCACTTCAGCCAGCCTAAATGGAAGATTCTACAGCCTCTACCAGCACCTTTTTTTTTTTTTTTTTTTTTTTTTGCGGTACGCAAGCCTCTCACCGTTGTGGCCTCTGTGGTTGCGGAGCACAGGCTCCGGACGCGCAGGCTCAGCGGCCATGGCTCACGGGCCCAACCGCCCCGCAGTATCTTCCCTGAATGGGGCACGAACCTGTGTCCCCTGCATCGGCAGGCGGACTCTCAACCACTGCGCCACCAGGGAAGCCCCCAGCAACTTTTCTTAATGCTACCTTTGCAGACCTAAAAATGAGCCTTTCCACCGTCACTGTGGAGGGTGGAGGGAGGCAGGTTTAAAGTGCCATCTTCCACCAGATGTAACAATTAGGCTGCGAGAAAAGTTGGTGGGAAAATTGTGAAAAGAAAACACCCCAAACAACAAACCTATTTTCCTCTGTCCTACTCAGGGACTTTCCTTTGTTCCAGGTTAAATCAAGACCAAACTAAGTTTCAGTGGAGCAATACAAGCCTTTCTGGGAACCTAAACTTAGAAATGACAAACTCAGGTGAGAAAGAAGGGGGAAACGATATGGAAAAAAGTTTGGAACAGGGCCTCTCTGGTGGCGCAGTGGTTGAGAGTCCACCTGCCGATGCAGGGGACATGGGTTCGTGCCCCCGTCCGGGAAGATCCCACATGCCGCGGAGCGGCTGGGCCCGTGAGCCATGGCCGCTGAGCCTGTGCGTCCGGAGCCGGTGCTCTGCAACGGGAGAGGCCACAACAGTGAGAGGCCCGCGTACAGAAAGAGAAAAAAAAAAAAAAAGTTTGTAACAAGGTAGTAAAGGAGATTCTGGAAACTCCTTCTATAACGAATCCATATTCATTTGAGTTCATTCACTCAAAATATTTAGGTAGTATTTAGCTTGTGCCAGGCACTGTTTTAACCACCAGGGATATGGCAGCGAATAAAATAAACAATAAGCCTATCTTCATGGAGCTTGTATACAAGCAAAAGGAGAAAGGCAAATAAAATATACAGTATGCTAGACGGTGGTATAGTATTTTAGATGTCAGTGCTACAGAGAAAAATAAAAGAAGTGGGGTGGGGAGGAGCATGTGACAGGAAGTTGCAATTTAAATAGGTCGGCTAGGAAGTCCTCACCGAGAACGTGTCTTTTACGCCAAGATTTGAAAGAGGTGAGGAAAAGAACATTAATACATGGGGGGGGGGGGGGGGGGGGGAGAAATAGCCTCCAGGCAGAGTCTGAAGAAAAGAAAGGGCAAGAATCAGCTTCTCTCAGAGGGTTACCAAAGGTGAGCCAGGGATTGACCTAATTAACCTTTTAGAAGAGAGAGAATGGAAAGAACTCCAAATAACTGTAAAGTATTACCTGCCCCTAGGCTGTCTCCTTTATCCCCCAAAGTGCTCACCCCAGAAAAGGCCTTCAATTTTTCTGATACAACATTCAGAAAACGACAAGAGCTTGGTTGCCTCTCTAGGACCCAAATGTCCTAATTCACCTAGGCTTGAGAAATACCTAAACCGTGAAACTGAGGCACAGGCCTGGAGTTCAGATAAACCCTTAATCTTCACTCTGCCCTTTGCCAGGTAAGATCATGCATACTGGACACCTGTTTCTCATCTGTAAAACTTAGAATGTTATCTCCCAGAGTTCTGTGACAATTGAAGGAAAGGGCCAGTGCCTGGTAAACGATCTATACTAACCAAATACTCAATTTCTTCCCTAACTCCCCTCAAACACAGAATCCAGGATTCCTATCCTTTTCGTTCCGAAGCCTGATGCTTTTAAGTTCAGAGGCAAAGGAAAAGGTTAGTCCTGAATGTTCAGCAAGGGCTCAGGAATCCTGTCTCCTGTTACCTAAGGTACCAGATTTTATGCTGTTCTCAGTATAAGACAGAAAGAGGAAAAAAAAACAAAAACAAAACTGGGCTGCGGTGAAGATGCAACAAGGCGGAGTGGAACCAAGTGTCCCTAGGCCTGGGCCTGTCAGTGCCAGGTGATGGTATATGGCCCTTCTGCAGGCGAATCCAGCTTGAAGAAACCCGCATGGACAAATACCCTAACTCCCCGAAGCCGACAAACTTCAGCTCAATTCATCGCACTGTACCAGGAATCCAGCGGTCCGGAATCAACGGATGCATTTACAGGAGAGAGTCTCGCAATCTCCACAAGTCCCTCCTACAGCTGAGCCCATGCCCAAACCCAATGGGCAGTTTGGGGGTGCCCTCCTCAGATACTCACATCCCCCTTATGCAGCTCTGGCGCCGCAATCTTCACCGGCTCTGTCCTCTTCTTTGGCTTGGGAAGCCCCAGGGGGGGCCCGGCCCCGCCGATATGGGGGGGCAGACTGAGGCCAGGGCCTCTGGGCGAGGGCAGCCCCAATCCCAGCCCCTCCCCAATTCCCGCCGCTTCAGCCGGGCTCACGCCTGGAGGTGGAGGGAAGCCTCCCAAACCGAAGGGCAAGGAGGGAGGAGGCTGGAGCCGGGGGTCTCCGGTGGGTGTGGGCAGCAACAACGGCGGGGGAAAGGCTGGGGCCAGCATCTGGGGGGACGGAGGCAGCAAGGCCGGACCCTTGGGCGCGGGAAGAGAAGCGAACAAGCCCCCTAAAGTGGGCCCAGGTGTAGGGGCTGCCGTCTCCTCCTCCTCCTCCGCCTCCGGCTCAGCCTCATCCGGCTCACTCTCATCGCTGCTGGCGTAAGCAACCAGCGACATGGCGCCTCCCGCCTTTGGGGCGCCCTTGCCGGCAGACGAGGCCTACTTGACACCGGGGATGTCCGGAGGCCTAGTGGGCCCCGCTAGTTAGCGGGGCGGTGAACCAAAAAGCCCGCCTTCTCCGTACTCTAGGGGTAGCCCCGGTAGAGGCCCATGCCCACAGTTGATTTCCACCGAATAAGCCTTCCCTCTCCACTTAGGCTCCTAGTCCCGGGCAACTACACACAGCTAATGGCCGCCGAGTCACTCCACCTCCTCCTCGTCTCACCGATATACGAACTACAACTCCCAGAAAACACTTTGGCCACAGCACCATTCTCCGCCGCAGGGAGCTCAGCGCAAGGCACGGCGGGAGTTGGAGTCCGAGGAAGGATTAAGGGGTGCGGAGAAAGACAGGAGGTAAACCCGCCTCTGACACGAGGACTCCTGGGATGAGTAGTTTTTTTGGTCTCCTGACAATTCCTAGGTAACTACAAGCCCCATCGGTCACCGCGGTAGTCACGGAGACGGATAGGAGAGCATTTCGGTACTTGAAGTTCCCTAAAACAGCTGCCTGGGCGCTAAGATTTATGGGAGACGTAGTGCTCTTAGAAACTGCAAGTGAGGCTGGGAATGAGAGGGAGTCTGGGAAGGTGACGGATTGAGGGAAAATAGCTTAAAGGGAAAGAGGTCTGTAAATGAACTGATGAAGCTTCCGAAGCCACTGAAACCCCTAGTTAGAATAAAACATCCCAAGAAGAGCCAGGGCCCGAGACACCTGTACGGAATTGGGCTGCGAGCCAGAAAGAAGCAAGACTTCAGGCCTAATTAAAAACATCTCAGAGCTGAAATAAATGTGACGTAAGAGGGAGTAAGTGATCTCCCTCGCCTTGACCAAGGTGCATATCCAGGAGCACACCTAGCCCTTCCAGCCTGGGTCCTAACCTCTCTCTGCAGTGAGACTGAAAGATGGGCAGGGCCCTGGAAGGCAGAACCTGGTACTTGAGGTTAATCCCTTCCCCTCAGCACAGTGGGTTAAGGGGGCCAGCTACATCTGATACCTCTTCACAGATCTGAGGCATCATCTGAGTCCATCTCTATCTGCATATGTCCTTTGTATCTGTGTGTCCGTGCTTGGTATTCGTGTGACTTTGTGTGTGACCTTGTTAATCGGTCTCTGTGAGTGCCTCTTATATCCATCCATGTTTGTGTGTCCTTTTCCAGCGCACACATGTCTGCCCGTGATTCTGCAGCTGTCCTTCCTTGTCCGCCTGTAATTTTGTGTCCTTTTCTTTATATTCATCTTTGCCCCTTCCTGTCTGCCTGTGAGTGGGTGCCCTCTACTTGTCAACTCTGTACATGTCCTATATATGCCAAACCACCTCTGTGTGGGCTCTATCTCCCTATTCCCAGAGCAGAAGGCTCTACTGAGCTCAGCCCATAAAGACTGTTGAGGTTTGGGGAGGAGGCTAAAAAGGAAGATGGAAAGGATGACAAGGGGGGCGATGATGATGGCAACAACAGAGAGGGACAGTGAAAGCCCAAGCATGAATTCTCTGTCAGACAGGCCTGCTATGGCCCCCTCCTCCCCACCTTCTCCATGTGTCTAAATCTCACCCTACCTTCACCAACAAACTCATATGCTGCCTTCTCCGTCTGTTTGCTTAAATCTGTTTGCTCCCTGCTCTGGATGCCCAGAGCATTTTTTCTGCCCACCAATTCTTAAACTTTATTGTGCCTAAGATCACTGGGAAAACTTCTTAAAAATGCAAACTTCTGAATTCCAGCCTAAGAGATTCCTCTTCAGTAAGTGTGGGGTGGGGCCCAGAAGTCTAAATTTTTATTTTTATTTATTTTTTTTTTTTCCAGTACGCGGGCCTCTCACTGTTGTGGCCTCTCCTGTTGCGGAGCACAGGCTCCGGACACACAGGCTCAGCCGCCATGGCTCACGGGCCCAGCCACTCCGTGGCACGTGGAATCTTCCCGGACCGGGGCACGAACCCGTGTCCTCTGCATCGGCAGGCGGACTCTCAACCACTGCGCCACCAGGGAAGTCCAGAAGTCTGACTTTTTAAGAAACTCCTCAGTTGATTGCAAAGCAGGTGCACTGAGGACCGCGTTGAGAAACTAGACCTTCCAGTCCTACCTCGCAGCTGGTATGCTTTGCACAGTACTGACTTCTAATACCACCTTTTTGAATCTAGGTTCCCCAACCTACTTTCTGGTGACTTTGGACAGTCACTTCTCTTCTCTGAGTCTCACTTTCCTCCTTTGAAAAATGGGTAGAGTATGAAGGAACCCTACCCTACTTCTGTGAGAGACGTCTGATATTAACACACAGTGAAATGATTCAGAACCGTAAGAGAATGGGAAACTTTCAAAGGGAAATGACTATCCTTGTTCCTGGTCAACATATCTTGCTGCCCTGCAGTGAAGAGACACCCCAAAAGGGCAGAGATCTTTTTGACAAACATTTTCTAAGCAGGGTCCTCTTACTGTAAAGATTAATGATTTACCTTAATAGGTAGATACCCTGCCCTTGAAAGGTTGTTTTCGTGCAAGAAATTGATAATAGAAACTTGAGGACAGGGATGGGAAGGGGATTTATTTCTTACTGCTTACTCCTTTATACCTTTAGAAATTTGTAACTTGTGCATGTATTACCTATTCCAAAGTAGTAATAACAGTTATAAAGTCTTCCATTAAAGATAGTGAATAGCATAGACATATCTAATTTGGTTCCTTCCTGAAATTCTACTAAAACTTCAATTAAAGGAATTTTTTTTAAGGCATTAAAGATCATTTTGAAAAGATTTAAACCCACAAAGATGGGGACATGAGAAAAGGAGATCACAGTAAGAACATTTGGAAGGTGGAGAGCAAGATGCATCAATGGTACTGACTTGGCATATCCAAGAGAGCCGAGAAGCAAGCTGGCCTTGGGGAATGGTGAGAATGAATCTGAAGTATCTGTGGAAACCTCAAAGGGCTCAGGAGTGGTGGTATCAAGTACCTCCGGAAGTGAATGAGAAGGGAAGGGAGCAAAAGTGAGGGCTGGTTACAAGATGGTTAACAAACAGTTAGATCCCTGAATCCCCTCCCCCACTTCATGCTAGTGGAAGACTGCCTCTCCCCAATCCCAGAAAAAATAAAGGGTTTTTTTTTTTTCCAGAGGGAACAAAACAAGAGGGTTTCTGCTATGGGGAAAACCAGGCACAGTCAAGGGCAGAGGTATTTTACAGAAATCAAAGGAATTAAAGCAATACGCACATGGAATACTGAGACCCCAGACCTAATTCTCCAGAAGACTGGCCACGGCCTTTACCCTAAAGCCTAGATGCTGGGAAAAATCTCCACGGGAAAATGTGTTCAGCCCAAGAAGAAAGATCTATGGAATCCCACATCAGAGATTCCCCCTACAAATTTCCCAGCCAGATAACCCTCACATCAAGTTCTCAGTTGAGAAGCCCCAACCACATGCCCATAGGTACAAGATGTCTTTTTAGTCCTTCACTCTTTTTTTTAAGTCCCTCACTCTTAAACATGAGCAGGCACTCTGACATGAATGATAGAGACAAAACAAACAAGTAAAAAGAGAGAAAGTGCAGGGAGAAGAAAACTTCCAAAACCTAACAATTTTCTCAAATAAGTAAGGGAAAATACTATATACATGAAACAAGAACAGAATGCCATAAAAAAGTAACAAGCAGAAAATAAAATAGAGCTCTTGAGAAATCAAAATATAAGCACAGAAATAAAATTCTCACTAGAAGAGTTGGAAGAGAAAAGTTCAGAAAATCAGAGAACCAGCCCAGAAAGTCTAATATCTGAATAATAAGAGTCCCAAAAAAAAGAGAGACAACAGAAAAAACACAGAGGGAAGGAAATCGTCAAAGGAATAATTACAGAAAACTTCCCAGAACTGAAGGACGAGCGTTTGTTTTCAGATTGAAAGGGCCTACCCACTGCTCAGCATAATGGGTAAAAATGGATCCACACCAATATGAAATTTCAGAACACTGAAGACAAAGAGAAGATCCTGAAAGTTCCCAAAGAAAAGAAACAGATATCTTAAAATGGATCAGGACAGGGACTTCCCTGGTGGTGCAGTGGTTAAGAATCTGCCTGCCAATGCAGGGCACACGGGTTCGAGCCCTGGTCCAGGAAGATCCCACATGCCACGGAGCAACTAAGCCTGTGCACTGCAACTACTGAGCCTGTGCTCTAGAGCCCATGAGCCACAACTACTGAGCCCACATGCCACAACTACTGAAGCCTGCGCACCTAGAGCCTGTGCTCCGCAACAAGAGAAGCCACTGCAATGAGAGGCCCGCGCACCACAACGGAGAGTAGTTCCTGTTCACCACAACTAGAGAAAGCCCGCACACAGCAGTGAGGACCCAACACAGCCAAAAATAATAAATAAATAAATATGCTGCCAAAAAAACACAAAACAACAACAACAACAAAAATGGGTCAGGACAGAATGTGCAAGGCCTTCAAAAATGCAGAGGAAAAATATTTCCAACCTAGAATTCAACTCCAAGCCAAGCCATCAATCAAGTGGGAGGGTAGAATAAAGACATTTTCAGACATAGAAGTTCTCCAAACTGTTCCATTCTAAGCACCTTTACTCAGGGAGCTACCAGAGGATGTGCTCTATCCAAAAAAAAGGGGGGGAGGGGAGATTAACCATGAAAAAGAAACACCTAGGATTTAGAAAATACAGGAGAGGGATGAAGGGAATCCCCAGGAGGCTTGGGAAGGGAGATTCCAGGAGGAAAGCTGTAGACCAGACTACTCACTGCCAGCCACCTATTCACCTTCAGACCTACGCCTTGCCCCCAACACTCCCTCAGGGCCTGGCACAGCACCTACCAATGTGCTGTGAATATATGTGGGGGTGAATGAATGAAGCTTCAAGCCCGTGGCAATGTGGTGGCAGAAATGGTGGCCTTTCAGTACCTCCATTGCCATCTGTGCCCACAGAAGCCATAATCAGCTTCCTCCAGCAGAGCCAAAACTGCTGCTCTCTCTCCCTCGGTGGTGGGGAGGTGGGGAGAGGGGCAGAGAACCCACTAGGGCTCAATCTTATCATTCCAGAAAAGGGCCCTCGGCCCCTCCTCACCCAGGCACCTCCCAGGCTCCTCTCCTCCCTAGGCCTCTGTCCCTGGTGTCTCAGAGCAGTGCCCTTGGTGGGAGAGGGCTGAAAAGTGTGGTCAGACACGATCAGAGCCACAGCAATTCTGTCAGCCTGACTCTGGTCCCAGACCT